CAGGATTGTTCCTTAGAAATAAGACATATTTCATAATTTGCCTATAATCAGGCAGTTTGGCCCCATTAATTGATGTTGAAGGATGACCAACTAACCAGAAATCAGTTAACTTTCTTGTTCAGGTCTGCTTGGAGTTCCTTTATATGAGCTAGAAGTACCTTGACAAATTTATTCTCTTTTTGTTTTTTAGACTTTTTGTATTCAGTACTTCGTTGTGGTGATGGATCGCGCTTTTTACTACTTTGAGTCAACATTTTTTCAATATATTCATTGATAAAATTAAATTTATTCTTTCATTAAACAGTATCAAAACTCGAATAATACAACTAAAAGCCATTGAAAACCAATCAAAACTTTTTAGAAATGATTCTTTGATTATTGAGATTCTAAAAAAAAAAAAAAAAAATGCAATTATTGCATAAAATGGGGAACATGTTCAGAGTTCAGATCACTTATCAAAAATCTATAAAAAATATTTTTAGACATAGTATTGATAGTATAATGGGAAAAACTTCACTTTACAACATTTTGACACTTCACACTGTATCCTGGACAACCCTATTTTACACAAATATATGCACCTATACTATGCATATATAAACATACTTTACATATATATACTATACTAGATCAGAGTGTAAACTTCCTGGAAAAACTAAAAACGGCTGTTTTCAGAAAACATGCTTGAAAAACTGGAAAATAAAATTTTAAAGCATCATTTAACCTATGGTGCTCAAAAAATATATTTCCAGTTTTTACAACAAGTTTTTCCAAATCAGCCCTATTCAGTTTTTCCGGCAAGTGGACACACTGTATATATATATATATATATATATATATATATATATATATATATATATATATATATATATATATATATATATATATATATATATATATATATATATATATATATATATATATATATATATATATATATATATATATATATATATATATATATATATATGCATTTATAAAAGCTTCTATTTCTCCTATTTCTATTTTTTCACTGCTCACAATAGCACAAAAATTTTTCTGAAAATGACAGGAGAATGGCATTTAAAATAAACTAAATTATACAATAATCTTACATCTTAAAAAAAAAACAACAACTTTATAGACTATAATTCTATAAACATTTTTATAAATTGTATCTGCTATGAGATGTTTAAACAAAAAATTATCTTCAATAGTTTTGAAAAAAAACTTAAATAATAATACAATAATGATGCCAAAAAAAAAAAATGTTTGTACACCCCTTAATGTGAGCTTCAACATTGTTTTTTTTTAAAATAGTTTGTAAATTTTTCAAACCAACAATGAAATGTTCTAAAAAAAGTTGTAGTTTAATTTAAGAGCATCACTGAAACTTCAGTAATATAATAAGTAATGTGAAAAAGTAAGTAGGATGCATGGTACATAAAGTTTTAAAATTTATCAGATTTTTTATGCATTTTTTAATACTTTTTTGTAGCACATTAAAATACTTATTATATTAAAATCAGAACACGAAGTTTATTAAAGCAGTTAAAACACTAAATTATTAATTAAAAAATAATCAACAGAAATAATATCCGGTGGAAAATAAAAAGTTTGTTAAAAATATTAACTTTAAAATATTACAAACATATGTTGTTGTTTTTTTTTTAGTTGATTAATTGATATCATATATAAGCAAGGCAATATAACATCAATGTTATATTGTGAATTAAAAATTTAAATAATAAAAACTTTAAACAATAAAAGAATCTAAACACATTCAAAAAAAATCAAAACAAGCATAATATAGAATGCATATTTATTTGAATAAAAATAAACAAAGCACTTAGGTAAAAACAGCAACAAAAATGTTGTAAATAACTTCACTGATAGAAGATATTTAAAAGTTTTTGTTGCTATTTTTTTATTTGGTGCTCCCAGCATTTTATTAACTGGAAATGCTAATATTTGTATCGTAATAAAAATATGATGCATAACCATAGTAGTAGTATCAGATGACAGGGCTAAAGAAAAAGATTGAAAAAAAAGTCCTTTTAAATTATTTAAAAAGACCTAAAACTTAAAAGTTCTTCAAAAAGACCAATCAAAAAAAAAAAAAAAAATCAAAAAAATCAATGAAAAGTAGTAGTATCAGATGACAGGGCTAAAGAAAAAGATTGAAAAAAAAAGTCCTTTTAAATTATTTAAAAAGACCTAAAACTTAAAAATTCTTCAAAAAGACCAATCAAAAAAAAAAAAAAAAAATCAAAAAAAATCAATGAAAAAATAATACTTTTGAATGAAACTGTTAAGTTGGATTCAAGGATCTATCACTATTGTGTATATATTTTTCTTATCAACTATTTTAATCATAAAATGATTTATACCTTTATACCTAGTCAAAGCTTTTTTTTTTCTATAAAGTAAAAAGCAAGTAAAAAGTACAAATTAAGAAAAACCCTAATAATAAACGTCTAATAACAAAATTACTGACTGTATTTCCTAAAATTTTTGAAAGACTTAAACGCATTTAAAATTTTAAAAAATATATTAATTGCTAATAAGCTAGCAATACCTTTATCAGGTCTCTTATGATAAACTAAAAAAATTAGTCCTACACTTTTTACAAATTAAAGCTCTTGTTTTAGACAAAAGTTATCTTAACTTTTATTTTTCTAAAATATTTACAATATTTACACTTTGCAATCATTATTAACTAAATAGAAATTAAATTCTACAATGTTCTACTAAATTGTTTCAAATTCTACTCAAACATTTATAAAATTAAAACTTTGAATTTCATCAACATGATTGAACTAAAAATAGAAATAAATAGTTATCAAAATCTACACTTGTTTAATTAAGTTTACTTAAATATACTAAATTAAAAAATAATGAATATAATTTAAATATATATTATATATATAATCATATAACTGTAAAATAAATATAAATTAAATATAAATTGTTTATATAACAATATAAATATAAAACAAATTATTTTGTGAATTAAAAAAAATAAATAATAAATTAAACTTTAAAATCAAATAAACAAAAAAAACAAAATTGTTAATCAAACTTTACTTAAGTCTGATATACTTTATAAAATACTTAAAGTTTAACTTATTAATATTAGTAGATATTTTATGTAGATTATTATTAATAGTTACATAAATAATTACGTAGATAATAAAACTTAAATTTACTTAAATTTTAAATAGACTATTAGGTAAAAGATATTTGTTTAATTTAAATGGGATAAATTAAACAACTTATTAATCGGGTCAGTGTAACAACGTCAGTTTTTGCAATGTCTAATAACATTTTTTCAATAAGATCTGTAAATACTATGATAACTATATCTGTCCAACATCATCTGTATAGTTGTCCAAGATAGTTTGTACACTTTTGTCCAAGATTATGTTTTTTTTTATTTTACTCCAACAACATCTGTCCAATATCATCTGATAATTCAATGACCCCTAATAACATCTTTAGGAAGCTGTAACTACAGCTGGTAGTTTTTCTCCAAGTCTAATAACATCTGGAAGAATTTCCTCCAGATGTAATTTACATCTGAAAAAAATCTTATATGTAACAACATATTGTTAAAGTAATACATTTATATTTATTATTTTTTCCAAATGTCTTTCTCACATCTTCACTTTTAACAAGGCTGCGTTTAACCACTATAAGCGTTGGAAGTTACTGGAAGAGAAAAGATGAAGTTTGTAGAGCAAGATGTCGATTGACAGACGACTTGAAAGATTGCAAATTATATGAATCAGGGAAGCAAGATGAAGAAAGTGAATTCTAAAGAACTGATGTTCAAGGAAAAAAGCTAGATAAATAAGAGTTTTTAGAGGACTTAGAAACAGAAAAATAATGAGACTTAATTGAATGATAAGTAATGCGACAATGAATTTTAGTAGATGGCACAAGTGATGCTAGCTCTTTAGAGCAGTATCTATTATAGTATTTGTAGAAAAGACAAAGAGAAACAACATCACGACAATGTGACAATGGTTGGAGATTCAAGAGCAAGTCCAACTATGTTTACAATGCGTTTTTGCACCTAGTCTAAAAGAGAAAGGGCATTATTAGATGATCCGCCCAGATATGGCAACAGTATTCCATACATGGGCGGATTTGAGATTTATAGAGATTTATAAAGAATCTGGAGTAAGAAAGTGTCAAACTTGATAAAGAGATGCAACCTTAGAGGACGCTGATTTCACAATGGATTTGATATAAGGTTTCCAAGAAAAGTTGGAAGTCAGAGTTAATCCTAGAATTTACATCTGAAAAAACTATATAACTGATAAAATTTCAGATAATGTTTGACAGATGTTATTATACGTCAGTGTATTTACATATGTTTTTGGAGTTCAATTTATCGCATTTAAATTAAACAAAGGGCGATTCTCTTAGAAAGCTAATGGAAGTTCGTCAGATCTTGCTTGGTAGACATTTTTCAATTGACTGCATGTACTTAAAGAAAGTGCTCTTGAAATTTTAGAAGCCTAGAATCTACTTTTTGTTTTCTACTTATAGGCGTGTTTAACTTAAATAAGACATTGACTTCGTAAACAAACTAGTTTGAGACCCCCCTCTTCCTGAATTTTTTTTTATACATACAGTCGAATGTTAATAAAATAAAATAGTAATATCAGAAAAAAATGAAAAAAAGTTTGTGTTTTATTAACATATAAAAGTTTTAGGATTAAAAGTATTAGGTTTTAAAAATTTGTTTTTAATTTTACTTGTTATTTAGGCGCTGATAAATTGTATTTGTTTTATTTATTTTATTGCTTTATTTATTTTTTTTAATTTTTTTTTCTTTATTTCTTTCTTTTCTTTATTCTTTGTATTTAAATTTAATTCTATTTCTTTTCAAAAGGATACAATTATTTAATTATTATAAATTATACTAAAGTTTATATATAAATTATATCAAGTTATAATAAATTCATTTATGAATTATTCTAAATTATATTAAACTTATTTTTTATATATAGCTTTAATTCCACTTCCTGTCAAAAGACAAGAATTACGACTCAGTTTGATTTGTGGGATAACACATCATGGTGGATTGGTCCTTATTCTTGTCTTCCATTCTTTTCTAACTCTGATAAAGGAAATGGATTGTTAATTACAAGTACTGTTGATTATGGAGGAGTAATTATTTCTAGAAATCAAAGTGAATTACCAGCACGATGGATTTACAGTCGGAACGATTATCCCACAGTGATATGGTATTGGTTAAATGAGAATGATTGTGATGGAAGCTACAAGCCAAGTATTAGTTTAATTTTGTTTTAGTTTGCTGTTTGTTTGTTTTTAATGCTTTTTTTATTTTAAGTGTAAAAATAACTTCTAAAGTTTTGATTTTTTTTTAACAGTTTATATAATACAACTACTTCTATTTGTATTTTATTATCTATATTAATGATGTTACTGATCTGACCTCTCAAGTGGTTCTAATTGGTGATGATGCAATTAAATACTTAGTCTTGACAAAAATTCATTACATTTAAATTATTTAGAACAGAGAGCTAATTTTAAACTTGATCTCTCTACTGTAACAACTTGGAGTGGTTAATGAATTTTTAACCTTAACAAAACTAAGTTGTTTAAAGCTATTGTAATATTGTTGAACTCATTAATGTATGACAGTACTCCTACTAAATCTTCTACTTTAACTCACCCTCTATTATTTATCACTACTTGTCTCTTATGGAAACTATAGACAAAATATCAATTGCAATGTTAGCATCTGCTTAGGTTGCCTCTCTTTATCTTGCTTGCCATTGCTTTCTTACATCTGATTCTATTATTTACCTTTTTTAAATATTTTTATTAATCCTTTTATGAAACAATGTTGTCATGTTTGGGTTTTTCTATTAAAATCATCTCTACTTTAGACAAGGTTCTAAATTGTGTTGTAAATGTTGCAAAGCTTGAGTCATAGTCCCATTGTTGCTAGGTTACATCTCTTTTTTGTTCTACAAATGTTATTATAAGTAAGGTTGCAGCAAAAATAGTGTCTTTTATGATTTATGAAACACTTTTGCTTCTTGAAACATTTTAATTAAAAAGATTATGTTGAAAAATGTTCTTATATTTTTAAGTTAATGGTGGTGTTTCTTCCTGGAGTTTATGGACCAGCTGCACTGCATTTTGTGGAGATGGCAAACAAAGTCGTCAACGCATTTGCAATAATCCCTTGCCAAGGTGTGGTGGAAATGATTGTAGTAGTGTTGAATTATACCAAGAGCAACCTTGTGTTGGAAATTGTTTCAGTAAATTTGTTTTTAGTTTTATAAAAATGTATTTGAGATTTTCCTGCATTACATATTTAAAAAAAGTATACATTTTTTAAATGTTTAAAAATGTTTGTTTAAATTTTAGCAACTCAAATAAGAACCCCTGGAGATCAATTTTGTATTGAACCTGAAACTGGAGTTTGTTCAATTGCTGACAGTACTGTTCTTGTTCTTCGTCCTACTTCTTTATACTGTAAAAGTGATGCATCAAGATTTGTATTTAATCCAAAAACAGGAAGCCTGTTGCATAAATGCAGTAATAAATTTGTTTGTTCCAAATCAGGAATAATTTCTGGTTCCAACCTGATAGTCAGTTCAGCATGTGTTGAATCTTCTATAGCAAGCCAATTCCAGAGAACAATTTGTATGTTTTTTTTACTTATAACCAGGGTAATTCAAATGAATACAGCAACTAAGAATATTTTATTTTTGAACTGAATAAATAAAAATTAAGAGAAGTAATTTAAATACCAAAAGTAACAACAGTTTCTGTTTTTCTTTTTTTTATTGAAGAGATTTTAATTTCTAGATTTCTTGATAATGTTTATTTTATAGAGAAAGTCAAAAAGACCTTTAGATTTTTCAAAATTTTATATTTATTTATAATCAAGTTTTTGTTATTTTTTAAGTTAAATAAAAATTAGATTGCTCATCACACGACTAATTTAGATTATAATAAACAGGGGAATCACACATCTTGCAAGCATGTGTTACATCATGTGATCACATGTCACACATGCTTTATTTTATTAATATTAATTTAATCAATCACTGTATTCACTTTTGGTTGGTAGCAGTGCAAAGCCTACCATTGCAGGGGATACTCTTTTTTTAATTTTTTTACAAACCTTTAGCTCTGAAACATGAGCTTTGATGAACGCCGCTGCACATAGAATCAAGTTGAGTGTTATGCTACCAAGGACATTGTGTGAATCATGCTTGGAACATATTGTTTACAAAGCAGGTACTCCACCACTACTCCACTCAAGCATAGTATAAAGTATTGCTAAGTTACATTCAAATATGTTTTCCTCGAAAAATGAAACTCATAAACATAAATTTTTGTGCAAAGATAATAGCAAAAAACTAAATAACAATTGTTACATTGAATAAATATAAACGAGAGAACAATTGACAAAAATAAGTTTTTATTTAACTTTTGAAACAACTTTTCTAATAATTAATGACATTGCAAAAAATTCTTTTCTAATGACATTGCAGATAATTCTTTATGTTTTTTTTACTTGAATAAAACTTTTTTTTTTAAATAAATTTAATTCAACTAATTGTTGTTTGTTTTATTTTCCTTACTTAAACTCATCTTTGTCTTATGGTTGAGATATCCCTGTCTTATATCTATCTTATATATAGTCTTATAAAAGTGTTCTTTAAAACTTTATTTCTATCTATATTATTTAAAAAGTGCTTAACTTAATCTTGTTATTTTTAAAAGATTACTCTAACTTTTCTAACTAAAGTCAAACTCCTAATAACAAGTTACAAAGCTAACTATAAGCCCTAATAATTACTAAATAGGGATGGAGTCATTAAATGTTTTTTTAGTTACTATATAAAAATCTGTGAAAAGAAAAAGTTTTTTTAAAGTTTATTTTTTTAAATGTTGTAAAAAGTTTTCAAATGATAAAATTTCACTTGAATCTTTCTTGTAAACTTTTTGTTTTTGTATATTGATATGAAAATATAAAAGAAATATTTGTTTGTTTTTTAATTCCCATTTTTATTAAAAGTAAGCTAAATTTAAATTTTTCTAATTTTCAGATTAATTGTAGAGCAACACTGATATAAAATGATGTAATTTTGTAAGCAACACTGATAAGAAATGATAAAATTTTAACTTTACATAAAGCATAAAACATAAATAATTTGATCTTACAAATGTTTTTTTACAAAATCATAAACCAACTAAAAGAAATTTAAGTGTTCTGCAAATATCATTTTTAATAAATTGATGTTTATTGTTTCAGATAATGATGAGAAAAACTAAACAAGCTCTTTTTTGTTTGGATTCCATCTTTAACTCTTTTTATTAATTTAACAACATTTTCTCCTAAATAAGTTTCAATTGTATGCAAATAAATAAAATTTAACAGCAGGTTTAGTTTCTTCAAATAACTTGATTTAATCATGCTGTTAATCCAATAAAGGTTATGATGATACAAGTTTGTTTTAATGCTGGTGTTTAAAACTGTTATTTTACCAGCTGTAAACTTATTGCTAGGGTTTATTTTACCAGCTTTTAACTTATTGCTAGAGTTTATTTTACCAGCTTTCAACTTATTGCTTTAATGTAGTTGGGTTATTATTATATTTTCTCCATTAAACCCTTATGGGTTTAATGGAGAAAAGATTTAATTAGTTTTCAATTAGGGTTTAATGGAGAGAAGTTAATAAGGCTGCTCTTTAAAAACATTGAGCAGAGTGCTCAATTTTTTCAGACAGGTAGTATATTTTGTAAATGTAGTAGACTAGTTTATAAATGTTTAATGTTCAAACATTTAACATATATTTATGCTAATTTAGGGAAAACTTTACAAATTGACACATTTTGTTTTAATCCTGTTGGAAGCTACTTGAAAAATGGTGTAAATATAGGTCTTTTTGGTGGATGCACTGACACTAAGAAAATGTTTTTGATGCCTGAAATAGGTAACAGTTATAAAAAATTTATTAAAACAATAAATTAGTTTCAATGTTAATTTTGATGATGAATTAATCATTTTTTAACAATTTCAAATTATTTTGAAATAATATGAAATAAAAATGATTTAGCTGTGGGTACTGTTTCTGTTTCATTGTTTGACAATGTTGCAAGCATGACAGCTTTAAAAACTGATATTCGTTATCAGACAAACAATCCTACAACTGCAGGCTATGTTGATAACTTTGAATTTTCACCTTATTCCATTAGTAATACTGGAGTTCGCATGCAGACTTACTTTAGAGCTCCGGAGTCAGGAATCTACTTTTTTATGGTCTCATGTGATGATAATTGTGAGTTACTACTTATAAAAGATGCATTTAGCTTAAACTCTGCTGAAAAGATAGCTAGCTGTTCTAGTCGAACTAATAGATATCAATGGAATAAGTAAGCATGAGTTTTATTTTAATTTAAGAAATAATTTAGCGATTAATTTTCTGTCAAGTTTCCTTTTTGTGTACCCTATAGCATAATCACCATATAATTTGAGTAGTGTTATTGTTTAAATTTATTTATATTTAATTTTATGTAAAAGTAGTGTGTGTGTGTGTGTGTGTGTTTGTGTGTGTCTGTGTGTGTATGTGTGTGTGTGTGTGTGTGTGTGTGTGTGTGTGAGTGTGTGTGTGTGTGTGTGTGAGTGTGTGTGGTGTGTGTAAAGAAAAATAATAATCTTTTTAAAGGTTTTTGAAACTTTCATCAAACACAATTGAGAAGAAGAAATCAAGCAGCAAGAAAAATATTTTTACAATTTGCTTGTATAAAATTTTTATTTGGTAACAATAAAGCCTAATGATAGAAATATTACTACTGTTACATAAAAAAAAAAAAATATTTATAGGGTATAACAAATGTTTATATAAATAGGTCTATAACTTAATATACATGTATATTAAGGGTAGAGAAAAAGAGAAAAAAAAGGTTTAATTACATGAAACATTTAATTACATGTTTAATTACAATTTACAAAACCTCACATGTTTATAAACATCTCTTATTCTCTCTAAAAATTCTATAAGTACTAACTCATTCTCTATTCTTGACAAAGAAACTTCTTAAATGCTAACTTTAAATCGGAAGGTAATATTGTTATTGAACTTATAAAGCCTTCACACAGCATGCTGGTAAATAATTTTTCACTCAACTTCACTAGTAAAAAGCTATTACATTATAATTGATATTTACTTGAATATAAACATTTTTTTTCCTCATTTTCTCTACCTCTATTACATATTAAGTTACCAAATAAAGTTTTGTAAATATACGTATACATACATGCATATATATATATATATATATATATATATATATATATATATATATATATATATATATATATATATATATATATATATATATATATATATATATACATAATATATATATATAATATATATATATATATATATATATATATATATATATTTATATATATATATATATATATATATATATATATATATATATATATATATATATATATATATATATATATATATATTCATATATATATACATATATATGTAAACATTATATATTTATGTCTATATATATATATATATATATATATATATATGCATATATATATATATATCTATATATATATATATATAGACATATATATATATATATATATATATATATATATATATATATTATATATATATATATATATATATATATATATATACATAATATATATATATAATATATATATATATATATATATATATATATATATATATATACATATATATATATATATATATATATATATATATATATATATATATATATATATATATATATATATATATATATATATATATATATATATATATATATATATATATATATATATATATATATATATATATATATATATATATATATATATATATATATATATATATATATATATATATATATTAAATATTTAAATGAAAAAAATACGACTTTTTTATAGGATTTCAAGTTTTATGCCATTTGGCAATCATTTAGCCATATATTTAAAATCATTAAAATAAAAACCGTTATAAAAATACAAAATTGCGTTGCAACGAGATCAAACGTCAGTTTTCACGCCAAACGGGAATTTATTTAACCGGTGTCGAATTTCGATAGCAAAAACTTTTTTCTGTGCCTACATGCTAAAACCAATTCACTTTTTTTAACAAAGGTTCTTTATTGTATGTTGAAATAAAATATTTCTCATTTATGCAAAGATTACATCTTTTTGAGGATGGGTTATAGGGTTGACATTTTTTAACAATACTCCACTTGATTATTGGTTTAATGCTTGCTTCCTTAAGTTTCCAGATCTCTTTAGAAAGCTCAGTGTCATTTTTATACCTGACCAAGTTGAATGATTTTAAGTGGTTTGCAAACCTGATCTTGAAGGAGTTTTCGCTAATACTAATATGAGATTTCTTAGCGTGGTTGACGTTTGCTGGTGTTACGGTAGCCTTGTAAACAAAATTTTTAGTTAGAGATTGATTTTCAAAAGGACACGCAGCTCTGTCTATACAGTTGCATTTTCTAACGTTTTCGGTATTTTGTTTACGCAAAATGTGTTGGTTGTGAGACTTAATAATAGTACTAATATATGGCATGCAGCTGTAGCTTAATTTGACGGTGTTTCTGTTAAAAATCTTGTGTAGCCAGTGGTGTGCTGGGAAATGTAAGTCAATTAAGTTCAAGAAAAGGTTTCCTAATTTGGTGACAACATTCTTACTAAAAGGGGGATTAAACCATATGATGCTTCGTTTGCGTTTATTAGTATGATGATTAGTTTTTTGTAAATTTAAATTAGGACGATATTGGATATTGCTGCTATGTCCAGACTTTATAAGGGCTTCTTTGTAAATAGAAGAAGAGTTTTCGAAAATTATTTTGCTGGAGGAGTTTGATGATAATCTTTGTTCAATAGAGGTCGGCAGCTGTTTTAAAATACTTGGTGGGTGGTTTGAGCTGGCATGGATATAGTTTAACAAACTTTCAGGTTTATGGTAAGGTTTGAAGCTGCAGTCATTAAGATTTAATGTAATATCAAGATAATTCACAATTTTTATGTTGTATTGAAGAGAAATATTAAGGCTGTTACTTTTAAATATCTGAGTTATATGTTTTTCCATTTGTGGACCGCTGGCGTTTTTAATTACGGCCAACCCATCATCTCTATACAGCCCAAAGTCAAGCTTATTATAAAAGTGAGAAATTTGGAAAAGAAGGAAAATTCCAACCAACTCACATACCTCGGCACCGTCAAACGCTCCCATAGCGACGTCAAATAAATCACCTGATTTTTTTATCCAAACTTCGTTATTGTTAATTAACAAGGATTGCCGTGCGTGTTGAATCAAAGATATGTGCTCGTTTGTAATGGTAACATACTGATCAGCAGAGGAAATAGAGTAGATAAAAAGTTTCTCGGTAATAGAAGGATAAAAGTCAACAATATCAAAAATGAGGAATTTATAAAAATGATTGTCATTGATGTTCTTGAACCATTTAATTACCTCCTGTGTGTTACTCCACTGGTTTATACATAAAATATTTCTTAGCTGTTTGTTTATTACGGATAAAATATGTTTACTTATTCTTCCTACTTATATATATATGTAAACATTATATATATATATATATATATATATTATATATATATATATATATATATATATATATATATATATATATATATATATATATATATATATATATATATATTTATGTCTATATATATATGTCTATATATATATATATATATATATATATATATATATATATATATATATATATATATATATATATATATATAAATATATATATACATATATATATATATATATATATATATATATATATATATATATATATATATATTATATATATATATATATAATATATATATATATATATATATATATATATATATATATATATATATATATATATATATATATATATATATATATATATATATATATATATATATATATACAGTCATGTGCATGAAAATAGCAGTGGCACAAAAAATTATAAAAAAAACCTTATTAAATTTAATGATATGCATAATTTCGGACCGTAATTGTTAATTTTTCATAATTAAGTATTATCTGACACTATTTAGTCTAAAAAAAGCTTTTAAACTTAAACGGACAATATCATACTACCATTTTTTTAAAAAAGGTACTTTTATCACATTTAATGAATGCAGATTTACCATTAAAAAAGTAAATAAAATATAACATTGATGAAAAACTATTTATTCATCTTTTGAAAATACATCTAATACTTAGTTCCATGACCCTTATTTTTCAATACTGCTTTACATCTTCGTGGCATTGACTCGATTAGATGACGACATCTTTCTAAGGGAATAGCTCTCCAAGCTGCTTCAACTGCTCTCCAGAGTTCCTCTTTATTGGCTGGTCTAGACAAAGATACTGCTCTTTTAACATCCCCCCACAGGTTTTCTATCGGGTTCAGGTCTGGGGATTGTGCTGGCCAGTTCATTACCTCAACCTTATTCTCTACAAACAAATTTTTAGCTTTACAAGAGGTGTGTTTAGGATCATTATCCTGCATAAAGATCCACTTCAAAGGCATTTCTTCTTTTGCATATGGTAACATGACTTCTTGCAGTATTTTAACATAAGCAGTTGCATCCATGATGTCTTTGATCCAAAAAATAGGGCCCAATCCAAACCAAGAAAAACAACCCCATGCCATCACCTGGCAGCCACCATGTTTTATTGTCTTGGTGGTATACTTTATATTATATTCTGTTCGTGGGGGTCTTCGTACAAACTTTTCGTGAATACCTGGATTAAATAAAACAATTTTAGTCTCATCACTCCAAAGAATATTACGCCATTTCGATGATGGCCATTCTTGATGCTCTTTAGCAAATGCGATTCGATTTTTAATCTGTCTTTTATTTAGAAGTGGAGTTTTTTTGGGCCTTCTGGCTTTTAAATTGGCTTTTATCAAACGTCTTCTCACTGTCGAGGACGATATTGGTAAATTTAATTCCGTTTTTATGGCTGTGGAACTCATAAAAGGATTTATCTTCGCACATCTAATAATTTTACGGTTCGTTTTCAATGACGTTTTAAATTTTCCCCCACGCAATTCCGCTTTTTGTGTCCATTTTTTGGCATTGGAAATCATTTTTGCAGAACATTGTAAAGCATCTTGGATGAATTTGTAAGTTTTACCATCTTTTAACATATTTAAAATTATTTGACGCTTCTCATTGGAACAATGTTTTGCTCTACCCATTTTAACTGTAATAAAATTGTGAAACTTAATAAAATATCGTTTAATTTTAATGAACAAACACTTACCTTAATGTATAAAAAAAATTGATGGTAAAAACAACTTTTAAGGCACTAATAGAAAATAAAGTTTATATTCACTGCTATTATAACGCACAGTTAATAAAGCAAAATTTTATAATTTAATTTAAATTCTGATACATGTATGTATAAACAGCAATATTGCCAACCTCTTTATATTTAAAAACCCTAACAAAAAATATTTAGAGAATAAAATATACAAAATTAACCATCAGTAAAAAAATTAAATGTATTTTATAAATAATTTTCTCCCACTGCTATTTTCATGCACATGACTGTATATATACATAAAATAAGATATAAAAATGACACTGAACTTTCTAAAGAGATCTGGAAACTTAAGGAAGCAGGCATTAAACCAATAATCAAGTGGAGTATTGTTAAAAAATGTCAACCCTATAACCCATCCTCAAAAAGATGTAATCTTTGCATAAATGAGAAATATTTTATTTCAACATACAATAAAGAACCTTTGTTAAATAAAAAAAGTGAATTGGTTTCAGCATGTAGGCACAGAAAAAAGTTTTTGCTATCGAATTTCGACACCGGTTAAATAAATTCCCGTTTGGCGTGAAAACTGACGTTTGATCTCGTTGCAACGCAATTTTGTATTTTTATAACGGTTTTTATTTTAATGATTTTTAAATATATAGCTGAATGGTTGCCGAATGGCATGAAACTTGAAGTCCCATAAAAAAGTCGTATTTTTTTCATTTAAATATTTAATATATATATATATATATATATATATATATATATATATATATATATATATATATATATATATATATATATATATATATATATATATATATATATATATATATATATATATATATATATATGCATATATATATATATATACATACATATATATATATATGTATATATATATATATATATATATATATATATATATATATATATATATATATATATATATATATATATATATATATAATGTTTATATAGTGTGCTAAATATATATATAGTGTGCTGTCAGGTGACAGCACACAGGCAGAATTTCGTTGACAAGTGCCATTTGCAGCGGACAAAAGAAATGCAACTTTTTTGGATTGTTTCATTTTCTTAAGTCTGGTCTGTGTCAACGTCACGGAAGTTTTTTTAATAATTAAAGGAAGTATCCAAAAGTTTCCAGAAGTTTCCGGAAGCATGCAGAAGTTTTCAGAAGAAGCATTCAGAAGTATCCAGAAACATTCAGAAGCATCCAGACGTATCCAGAAGCTTCTAGAAACATCAAAAAGAAGCATCTAGAATCTTCCAGAACAGGTTCAAACAGGTTCATTTTACTATATAAGAGACATTTAAGTCGACATATAATTCAGTCAGAATATGGAAGTCAATCAGTCAGTATTATCAAGACAGTTTATCAAAGTGAGTTTTATCAAAGTGTTTTATCGAAGAACATCAGTACAAGAAGTGAAATACAACAAGTGTTTCATTACATCAATACAGTCCACATCCAACCAAGACGTTGTGTTCCACAGAGCATTTCTGTATCATCACAAGGTAAATGTGGTGATACAATAATGCTCTTTACTACTACAGAGAAAGGCATTATAGAATTTCCTTATGGTGTTTTGTAAGTTAGGGTAAGCCTTGAGAAGCGTGATTATTTATTTTTATGACTTCAAGTGCAAAAATGGCTCCCGACAGTCTTGGATTGGAACTAAGAAAGAAAATTATTTGTGATTACTAAGTGGAATGTCGCAAAAAAGTAGTTGTGATAAATATCGGGTGATAAAATGGACCGTATTAAAACTATGTTCCAAATATCGTTCTACGGGGAAATTAGCAGCAGATAACAAAGGTGGAAGACCGCGTTCCACCACCTCTAGAGAGGATTCTATGATCGTCAGATCCGTCAAGAAAGATCCCTGGATATCATCAGTCAAGATGATATCGAGTTTCTGTATACATTGATTAAAGTTATTTATTTTTGATAATATTATTGTATATATGGAAATGCATAAAAATAGCAGTGGTTGAATTGATTTAAAGTTAGCTTATAAAATTTGAAGAGATTTTCGTAATTTTACAGAGAAAGGAAGTATTACTTACTTTCTCCGTAAAATTTACATAATATGAATATTATAGTATATTCTTATATATTTGTGTATGCTCAAAGTGGGCTGAGGACTTCATTGTAGGAGAACACATTCAAGTTATCTCGGATGTTAAGCAAAGATGATTTCAAATGCCATAAATAATAAATCAAAATTTAAAAAAATGAAGTGGAAAATGTAGGACTACGTAATTATAAAAAAACCAAAGAATTCTAAGAACTCTAAGATATTTTAAAAGCAAACCATTTTTATTAGCCAAGCAAGTCAAAGATGATCTTGAATTACAAGTGAGGGACACATCTGTTTTTAGGCGCTAATTAGACAACAGTTTATATGCATACAGTCCATAAAAGGTTCCTTTGCTGACAAAAAAAAAGACGTACTGCTAAACGTTTGCAGTTTGCAAACCATCATCTGAATTTGCCCATCAAAACGTGGCGCAACATTATAGACCGATAAATTGAAAACTCTTCTTTATGGAGATATAGGTTTAAGACAATATGTAAGATGTCCAGCTAATAAAGAGTTCCAGAAAAAGTATACCATTAAGTCTGAAACATGGTGGAGTCTATGTTATAGTATAGGGCTCATTTAATGGTGACGGCCTTATTTATAAGATTAATAGTATTATGGACCAGCATATATATGTCGACATCCTCAATAATATCATCTGCCTTATGTTGTTGAAAATATGCCGCTAAAATGGGTCTTCCAACAAGACAACGACCCAAAACACACTAGTTGCAAGGCAAAGGAGCGGTTTCAATTCAATGGGGTTGAAGTTATAGAGTGGGCTGGTCAGTCACTAGACCTAAACCTTAATGATAATTTATGCAGAGACATTAAAAAATCAGTTTCTGCTGCTAATTCAACTAGCTCAGCAGTTTTGGATAAATATTCAACAGGCATGGTACGCAATACCCGCGGAAAAATGTCAAAGTCTTGTTGACTCAATGGATCGGCATTGCGAAGCCGTTATCCAAAGCAAAGGTTTTGCAACAAAATACTAAGGATAAATATTATTATATTATACTAATTTTTAACTTTTTAATGTTAAAAATTAACTCTTTATGTTTAACTCTAGAAAAATTATTATTTTTCTCTATTTTCAGATGCCATTGCTAATTTAATGACTGCAACCTTGTTTTAATATTGTTTTTGAAATACTAATATTGATATGGCTTATTTTATCCTATTAGATTTAAGTTAAAATAAATATAATAAAAATTATTAGTATATGTGTGTGTGTGTATATATATATATATATATATATATATATATATATATATATATATATAATTTTTTTTAATTTAATTTAAAAGGTATAACGAACAAAAATCTATTCCAATCAGTTTAAACGTTGGCCAGCCGTATAGTTTTGAATTTTACTTGATTAACAATGGAGGCGTTGGACATGGTGCAGTTGCCGTTTTATTACCCAGTGGTACTCTTGTAGCACCAATAAGTTACAATTACCTTTCCGCAAGATATGATTAATGTTTTCCGCAGTATATCAATAATGGACTTATATATATATATATATATATTTATATATGTATATATAAATATATATATATGTATATATATATATATATATATATATATATATACATATATATATATATATATATATATATATATATATATATATATATATATATATATATATATATATATATATATATATATATATATATATATATATATATATATATATATATATATATATATATATATATATATATATATATAGTTTTTTATATCTATATACACCTTTTAAACCTTTTGTATAAGATGTAGTAAATTTAATCTGTACTTATAAATCTAAAATAAATCTTTTTATATACCACTAAAATGTATATTAAATGTTTACTAAAATATAGTAAAATTGTTTACTTTTTTAATTAATTTACTATAAATCAAATATTAATTAGTTAACTTAATGACTATTTGTAATTTACATTTCTACTTCGATTACGCAACTTTTGCAATAAGAATAGAATCCAGTGTTGTCAATAGACCAACCCTTTAGGCAAAATGACGTTTCTTACGAAGGAATGCTTATTTCGTTATGTTGCATTTAAAGGGCCTTTTTCCAAAACAAGTGCTAAATGTTACGTAGCGTTTAATTTTTTTTGGTGACTGGTATTGCGCCTAAAAATAATTTTGAAGAGCAAAATTTTTTTTACGAGATGTGTCTACAAAGTTATTTTTCGACTGGTGTCAGCGTTTTTTTTTTTAGCAGAACCTTTTTCGGAGATTGTCCTGATTTTTTTGGAAACGGTTTTGGTATCGGAAAAATGTTGTTGAATACCGGTATTAAAACCGCGGAAACTCTACTGTTGTTGTTTGTTTTATTGTTGTTGTTGTAGATATACCTCCTTTACAGTTTACACTAATATGTTGATATATGTAATAAAAACATAACATTCTTAAACAGAATGGCACATATTGTTCTGTAAAAACATCATCACATTCTTTTTTTTTTTGATAAATATCCACTTTACATAGAGATAAATCTTTTAGATTAATTTTATTTAATTTCAATTAACAGTTATCAATAAAGAACTTAACAACATATCAGGGCAAACTGTACTATATATGAAATGATAGTCAAAATAGAGTATCAAGTATGATTGATTTTTTCGGTAGTTTTGAATTCAGTGATAATAAATCTGAAACCAAACCACTGTTTGATCCAATCTGGAGGTAATTTGAAAAATGCCATAATGCTATTCATCTTTAATGCTATTCATCTTCTTTTACTTTATTGTTCTAATCAAACAGTTGTTTAGTGTGGTCAATCACATTATGAAAAGCCTAGTACATAAATAGATGCAGGCCATGGATCGTGACGTGGACATACCCGATTTACAGTTTTGACGTCAAACAACAAGTTATTTTGCTTTTGCGCTACACCTAGTATCCACGGCTGATCACATTTTTTTTCCAGAGTTGATATTACCCAAAATTTTTCACCCTCTTTAAACTTCGTATTTACGCTTTTCTAGTCTGCTTTCCTCCGAATATCGACATGTGAGATGAAACAAGTTGTTTTTTCTTGAATTGCTTAAATAGAGATTGTCTCTTTGTAAAGCAAGACTGTTAGAGCGATTGAACAATGTGGGTGAGCGAGTGTTCTTTTCATCGATCTGTGTATGCGTTCAACTATACCGTTACCTTAAGCTCGATGTGTTGATCGATATTTCCAATTAACATACCATTCTTAAGCATCATAATTACCGTGTTCGACCGAATTTTTTGTCCATTAGAAGACAAACTGGTGATTAAAATATAGAAATATTTTTTTAAACTTTCCAAAAACTTCAATAGATATTTAAGTTAATAGTTTACGCCATATTATACACCGTGATGGACCACAGTCAGTCATTGATAAGTACATTTCAGCTCTAACATGCGTCACGTCAATGACAACCCGATTCCAATTTTTTTCTAAGCTTAGTTGACCATGCTTCCACTTTACAGAGTCAGGATCAATAAAATGGCAATAGTTTGGCTACAATTTGGCTGCTGAAACTTCCTGACGTGATTCTGTTATTTCTAAATCAAAGTTTTAATGTTCAAGCAACAACAAAATGACCAATTGAATGTAATTTTTGTATGTCTTTTTGTTCAAGTACCATTTTTTAAGGTTCGTGAGAGTCGAGTGGCCAAACTTAGTTCAGACGGAATCCTTTGTACTACAATCCGGATATCTTTTGCCATTTCCTTAATAGTATTCAATCGTCTTTGTACTATCAGTGGAGAAATTGCCCGAGTTTTTACATAATATTCTTCCTTGAAAACTGCGTTTAACCATGCTTTGGTGCTTGCTTTCTCTGTATACTGTTAACTCCTTTATGTCTCACTTACTAGCTAAGTTTACTCCTCGAAGTATTGAATCTTATACTATTATGGGGTGTCACTCGCTGGCCGTAGCCATGCTGCATCTTCAACAACTACTCCACAATCAGCAGAACTACTCTAAGTCCTATAGAAGATGCATCACAATAAAGCTCAGCTTTTCCAGTTACTGGTACCAACCATTTTCCACCAATCAGATCCTCTTTTTTCTCACGCAATTGCTTAAGCTTTTCTTTACAATCTTCAGAAATAAAATCACACTAAGGTATATTTCCAGCTAAACGTTTGATGTATGAAGCTCGTAAACGCAAAATTTCTGCGACTGGGTAATGTCCAATGAGTTTTCCTAACTGGCTGCAAATCTGTCATCGTGTAATTTCATTTAAAGGTTCAAATTGTACCACATTGTCCCGTTTTCACATCATTTCTACATTTTTATTTCTTTCGACTCTTAATCCTAAGATACGTCCTTGTTCAAGATCTTGGGAAAGCTTGCAAATGCTTTGCTACATCTTCCACAGTTTCCACACTTTCATCAACAAATTTACCATCAATATAGTTATCACATGCTTTCTTTACGATTAGATTTAAATTGAGCACATGCCTAAGAATTGTGCTCATTATTATTGAAGCCAAATTGATACCAAAACATATTTTGGTGAACAACACCGATTCCTATTTATAATGTCCGTTTGATATGGTCAAAAATATTTATCAATATGAATTAAGAGGTAAACTTTTTTAAGATCAAGAATTTTTGCATTTTTAATTTTTTCTCCAACAACGCAGTTTTTCATGACAATTATTCTCATTTGCTGTGTGACAATTTACAAATTCGTTGAGAGCTCGAAAATCTCCTAATAGACGTGCCTTTTTGTCTTTGTTTTCTTGCACTGCGCACAGAAGCATTATTAATGCTTTAGGTGGTCCCAATGTTAGTTCGTTATATGGTACAAGAATGCTAGAGTTGATCCATTCACTTATTTCTTTATAGTAACTACCTCGTGCTTTTGGTTAATCTTGTATTCACAAATAGTTTTACAGGCTCTTTACTCCAGTTTCATGGTGCCGTCCGTTTTTTTTTGTCGAACTTTGCTGTGAAGTCCTGATGTTTTATTTCGTCATATTTTTTATCCTATTAATAATACCATAATTTATTCCGTTTATTTTGTTTTTATTTATTCTCATTGTAGTAAAGACACCACATTTCACTGTGTCACATGCTAACATTCTTTAATCGCATTCACTCCAAAAATTCTAATTAAACCCAAATAGTTTTTCTTTTACAATTAGAGAACTAAACATCTAGTATATTCCATTAACTTCCAATTTGGTTACCATTTCACCGAGCAGAGTTCCTCTAAAGTTGTGATAAGTTTTCAACTTTTTAAAACAAGACCATGCGTTAATTCAGCAATTAATGCTGTTTGGAGCATTCCGTTTATTTACACTTTTAATGATGGTTACGTCATTTTTAGTAGAATACTATATTTTATATATGCCATTATTTCCAAAATCTCTCTTTTCTTTTTAAATTTTGGAAACGTTTGTAGCAGTCATTAGCTTAATGTTCGTGTGAACAAGTCTTGCATTTTGTCCGTGCAAATTGTACAAGTTTTCCACCATTCAATTCGCTCCGCACGATAGTAGTTTCCCCACAAAAATTGAATTTATGAATTAATTCACCATAAGGGTATGTTCTATTTTAATGTTGGTGAATTGTTCGTGTTAGAAATCACATAGATGCGTGTTGAAAGTCACGCGTAATTTTATTGTTTTTCTTTTAAATTCGAGTACCTCCATTGCATTTATGTAGGGTAGAACTGGGATCAATGTTATAAAACATTTTGTCGGCGTAAAATGCCACCGGCGGAATTTTTACCCTGGAATTTTTTCAGCCGTAAATTTAGAGACGTAAAATGTTGTTTTATTCAATGCTATAAAACTTTTACAGGCGTAAAATTTTGCTCTGATTTTATTTTCGGAAATTTATTGTCCGAATCAATAACTTAAAAGGTTGTCAAAAACAGAATGTTTTTGAGTTGAAAACATCAAAGTTAACAAAAATTAACAGTTTCTTATGGATTTGGACCTAAACTGTTCCGATTCTGATGAAAAATATTTTGTTGCTTTAGAATATTTGGCAAATCAGAGACAACCACGAGAAGTAAAACTGTTCAAACAGTATTTAAACGGTTAAGAACACAATTTAAAAGTAAAAAAATGGAATTGTTATTAATTTTTTACCCTACTCTATAACAAAGTTTGTATAGCTTTTCTATAAAAATAACTTATACTATTTTCTATAGAGAGGTTTCTTTAGACCAGAGTTGTTAGTCCTTGGCCTTAAAGTTGCCTTAAGACCAAAAACTTCAAGGCCAAGGCCAAAAGTTTCAAGGCCTTGGCCTTGTAACATTTGGGTTTGGCCTTGAAGTTTTTGGCCTTGACCTTGATTTTTTTGTCCTTGGTCTTAATAATAAAATACAAAAAATTAAAGAATTAAAAGTTTTTTTTCTTTTTTATTTACCTTATTAATTAGGTAATTAATCATTCTTTATTTTGTAAAATTGAGTTGATACAAATATAGAAAATCTATACACATTTTATATTATACACTCTATACACATATTATACAACTCTATACATATTATACACTCTATA